TTTACATAAAAACATATGCATGAATGGCTATTTTTACTTGAGACTCTTCACAGTTAACAGTACAGATGGTTGAGATTTTTTGTTTAAAAACACATGGATCATATTTCAAGTTGTGCTTTGTTTTATTGGCTGCCAGGAAGAAGAAAAATATTTGGTTTCAATGTAAAAAAAATGCTTTGATTTCCCTAAACATCTGATGTTATGCTTCAATAATACCTTGTGATGATAGTTATTAAGCAGATTTATATCTAAAATGCTTCAAACATCTTACCCTACAGTTTATAACATGCAGATATTTGTTGTCTGTTTGCATATCTTAAATCCCTACGGAGTGAATATTTTTCAAGATTTTAAAAAAAGGAATTTCAAGTTTTTCAATTAGATGCAAAACCCATAGGACTTTGTGGTGAAAATGTTCAGTACAAAATTAGTATTTACAAACTGCATAAATAGATATATATGTTAAATGTTTACCCTTTCCATTTTTACAAGAGAACAAAAATGTAATACTCAAAATGTTGTCAATATAAAACTAAGAAGATGTGGTTTGATTGCCAATGATACAACTCTCCACCAGAGACCAAATGACATAGAAGTTAACAACTTCTATAGCTTCAATGTCTATAACAGGGATCATATAGACTTTTTTGAAGGATAGAACTTATAAAACAATTATTTTATATGTTGCAAAAATATTTTTGCGATTTTATACTTTTTGCAATATTCTTAGGTACATTAATGTATGAACAAAATGAATATTAAGTCTGTAACTTTAAGACCCCCGTAAAATAAATCATAATCATAGTCTTTAAAAGTTACTTTACTTAAGAAATATTTTCAAAACTTATCCCATATAAACATTAATTTTGTTAGCATACTGTTTAAAACAGTAATATGCTGATTTTTATAAGATAAACTTATGCATTCACAATAATTATTCTATTTCATATAATCTAAAAACTGAAGGCCTATTCAGAGAACATCACATTGATTCTGGATGTCCCAGGGTGGTGGTACGAATGGACGAGTGCCATCCTTAAATAACCTGTGGTGATCCCTGGTTTCAATTAATTTTGTTTTTGGGTTCACCGTTGGGTTTGTACTTACTCCAGTTCACAACTGGATCAATATATGTGTACAGGCAGTGTTGCCGCAGTTTTAAAAAAGCAGTGGTTTGAATCCTGCTTATAGAAGAGCAATAATTTTCTGTATAAAGTCGTTATGAAGTAATCGTACAGCAAATAAATATTAGGTTTTTCGTTTACATTTTTGAATAAAAAATCGCCTCTTTCATTTCTTTTCTTCTGTTCCCCGTTGTAAAATGAAAAAGCAGGAATAACGAAAAGATGGAGAGCGATTTCCCTTACATGCTTAAGCAAGCATATCGAAATATGCGCTGGTCTGTCTATTTATTATTTTTGTGCAAGGTATGACAAATTAAGCATTAAATAATAAAAAAAACCTGCATACTTATATTTGTACCTTTTATCAGGGAGGAAACTCTTACGCACATAGATGTTTCATTTGGTGTATCAGGTATCGAATGAATGTCTTTTATGTTTTAAAGTTTGAATATCCTTTTGGTATCTTTCGCCTCTCTAGATAAAAAAGTATTGCAGATATTTATGGTCGCTGAAACCTCCCCACCTTACTTTGGACAGTGGTGTAACAGCTCAAAACAAGATCAAGCTGTAAAAATCATTTTGAAATGGCTTGACTCATCAGATTGCACGAAGCACAAAAATAAAATAGAGGAGAAGAGTAGTCTTCTTTTTTATCTTCAAGAATTATGACTTTGTCACAAATTGCTGATAAAACACTCTAAAAGAATTTAAAAAGGCCCCGGTATACACGGTAACACATTTAAAAAAAAAAAAAAAACTAACGATCAGATTTTAAAGAGAGGCGAAAAATACATAAGGGACATCCCAACTCATAAGTCGAAGTAAACTGACAAAGGCATTGAGGAAAACGAAAAAGACCAAAAGACAAACAACAGTATATAAACAACACACAGCATAGAAAACTAAAGACTGAGGACACGAACCCCACCAAAAGTCGGTTGAGATCTCAGGTGCACCGGAAGGGTAACCTGTTGGTTAAATCAACATGGATTGGTTCAAGTTCCTACGTCTAGTTTTCCGGGTCCACAAAAAGAATGTTTGGCATTGTGTTATTATGCTATGGGAAATTTTTGTATTCTTGTCTATCGTTTTTGCTAATGTTGTTTGTCTATATCCCTTTTTGTTTTTGTTTGTTTTTATAGTGATTAAGATTATAACACAATGTTGACGGCTGCACCCTATTTTTGACATTTTTACCCACTATGTCTGTTTGTTTTGTTCACACATTGTTGTCAATATAATGGAATTTTATGCGACTGTCATACTAGTGAGAGGTTTAACTATCTATAAAATCAGGTTTAATCCACCATTTTCTACATAAGAAAATACCCAGCATCAAGTCAGGAATCTGACAGTTGTTATCCGTTCTTTTGATGTGTTTTAGCTTTTGATTTTGCCATGTGATTAGGATATTCCGTTTTGAATTTTCCTCGGAGTTCGGTATTTTTGTTATTTTACTTTTTTGTAACATCAATTTGACACGTGCATATGCATATGATTTGATAGTTCAAATTTGTTCAAAATCTTGACTATGGCTTACCAAGTTACTTGGCTTCATAGACTTGGCTTCCTGAACACTTGTATCTTTTGAATTCTCTACTTTTGTATTTTTTTTTCACTCCCAAATACACTTTGGTGTTCTTTTTAATTTCAACAGTGTCGAAGTTGATGCTGACAAATCAACATGCCTTTTATTGTGCAGAAAAAGTACAATATTCCCCGGAAATTCAGGAATAATTGAAAACAGGTACGTTCGATTTGATAAAAAAAAACAAAAAACCATGCACAATATCACTACAAACCAGTAAAAGTCTGAAATGGCCTATAACTGTACTCGACTGTACTGATTTTTACTCGACCAGTCTGAATTGGTCTGTAATTAACTTGATATTACTCGACTGTAGTCTGAACCATACTTAACAGTCTGAACTTGTACTCGACCTTTACTCGACCAGTACTTAACCATTTTATACAAGTCTAAACCATACTTGACATATTCTTAACCATTCTCGACCAAGTCTGAACCATGCTCGACCTAGTATGAACCATACTCGACCAAGTCTTAACCAACCTAGACCAATTTTTGTATCTATCTATTGTATTTCATCAATTTAGGAACTGTTATACATATACATGTATATATATATATACAATGTATATCACATTTAAAATTAAAATAAAACAAGGCAATCAAATTTCTGGTTGGATTAAAAAAATATCATGTAATAAATTAAGTTTTCGTTAAATGAATTTTTATATACATGCTATCATGTTCACATTGCTTTATGTACATCAAAAATACTAGAACTATTAACCATTATTCAAATATCTTAAATGTCATTCAAATTTTTATTTATCAAAATATATATAAAATAGTAATAAATATTAAAATTGACACCTTTGTTTTGTAAAACCAAGAATTTAATATAATAATAATAATAAAACTTTCATAGCAATCCTTGATAATGTTTTAAAAAAGGAAATGCATTCATAAGTTGCAGTAGAAATTTATTTTGATTAAATTTAAATACGTTTTGTTAAAATTAAAGACATGGATACCAAAAGCACTTTAATAAGGTCTAATTAACTTAGTACAGGTGTGTTTTTTACAGGTAAAAAAACCCTATTTTTCTTAAACACGTGTATTACTTATCTAGTGAATTCAAAAGGTTGTTATTTAAGTTTTACAGGATGTTGTAATTTTCAATGGATGTTATTTAAAATTTATTACTCTCTGACCAGGTGTGATCTTTTTAATCAGTGTGCCCCAAGCAGGATGTATTACTTTATAGTTTACCCCTAATCCTTTCTTTAATTTTTTATCCCTTTTTAAAATATATCTATCCCAAATTATAAATAGGAATACAGTAGATATATTTTTGATATAAGGTTAAACAATGTCAGTGATTTTGTTGGCTGTTGTTACCTCATTATTGTATGTAACCATGAAACCTAAGTAGTTTTTATTCATGAATTTAGGAAAATCAAGTTTTGTTTAAAAAAAAAACATCACATGCCAAACAAAAAGAACCTTAATAAGGTTTTATTACCCTCAGTATAGGTGTGGTTTTCAAGTAAAAGAAAGTCTTTTTAATTAACAAGACTCAGACTTTAAAATAAGATAATTTAACTATCTCAATTTGATAAATCTAAGAGAATCATGTAAGTATGTAAAAATCTGTTTTTATATATATCTTTATTTTATTGTGGCTGTTGTCATGTCAGTTAAAAAAGTTATTTTAACAAAATTATAAAAAGTAGAGGTTATTTGGTCAAGTATGGTTCAGACTGGTCGAGTATTGTTCAGACCTTTGGTCGAGTATTGTTCAGACTTTTGGTCGAGTACGGTTTGGACTAAAAAAAACAGGTCGAGAGCTGGTCAAGTATTGGTCGAGTACAGGTCGAGAATGGGTTAAGACTGTTTCAGACTGGTCGAGTAATAGTTGAGACTATTTTCAATAGCAAATATAAGGGTCAAGTACAAATCAGTACAGTCGAGTATGGTTAAGATTGGTTCGAGTAATATTAAGTTAAATTCAGACCAATTCAGACTGGTGGAGTAAAAATCAGTACAGTCGAGTACAGATATAGGCCATTTCAGACTTTTACTGGTTTGTAGTGTATGCTATATAGTTTTTATTTGGTTCCAAAATATCGAAATATTTTATTTGTTTTAAAACTTTCATCTATGTGTAGTAAGTATTTTGCTCTAATTATGTCTTATTTTCTGGAATGTCCTAATCGGTAAACTACAAAAAAACAATTAACTGAAGTAGTCAAAAAGTTAGCTTTCTTAGTTCGGTTTACAAGGTTGAGTGCACCCGTAGAATATCGATAAATTCTTTGTCTGTCATGTGATACAACTTTAAATGGCAGTATATACTCAGCCATATTTGACTTCCTTGTAAAAAAAATTGTAAGTATTTTTATCTTATTCATTTTTTTCCAATTATGCATAATGTACATTTACATCTGTACCAAAAGCAAATGACTAGGCTTATATTTTGTTCCTGCTCAATCAGTTCGCTTTTTGATGTTTAACTGATGAAAATCTCATATATAGAGCATGCCATAACACGCCCTTCGTTGACATAGAGAGAATGATATGTTGTAAATGCAAACAGGTATCTCACATCTTGTTCTGGTGCTTGCTTTTTTCTAACCACAGAAAATGTCGTTACGATATTACGGATTCTTGGATTAGATAAACTTTTGGAGAAAAACGGCATTTAAATTCAAAGATCCATTTCCAAACAGAGTCTTTTCGTTGCGTGTGCTGCAAACAATTAACACGCCGTCAATTGCGTGTAAGAGCGCACTAATTTTTCGAAGGACAGTTCTAAGTGCAAATAGATGCTTCAGATCTCTGAAATCGGTAAATATGCTATCATATTTTGACAACATTTTTTTAATTTTTCACAAAGTTCATTTAAGAAGGGTTCTACAATGATCCATTGTCTTTAAGCTTGCATTTGATACCAACACCAACCCAATTATTTAGCATATTTCAAAAGTAACAGCTATGCGCAGGAAACATATTGTTTTAAATATGTACTGTACTTTTTGTAAGTTCTTCCTGAACAGACCCTATCCACATCTTTCTGTCATTGTCAGTAGATACAATTCTATCATCTGAATGGGACGGGCATTATTCATTTGAGTTCAACGTATTTTCTCGTAGTAGAAGAAAAAACTATTACTTCATGGCTTCATTGTTTCCTATGCTGAATCCAGACGTTCGTAGCATTTATGTTTCAAGTTCAAAGAATGTGGCGGTAATTTAACGAACAATGCCTTATCGTGCCTTTCGTTAAAAACTTCAACATTATTGTAATTGTATTTTAAAGTGCACTGATTTTAAATATGAAAAATGGATAAAATAGTTGATTCTGGTCTGGGAAACATGCAAACTATGCCCTCCGATTTCAATTTCATACATGTGTTGTTATTATTCTCATCCCTCCTCCTTATATCAATCATACTGTTGGTGTTTTAACCTATATGGGTTGTTTAAATGCAATGCTAAATTATCTTTGTGAGCAGTAAAAATACAATTCATTAATCAAAGTAGTAAACAATGATTATAATGGTCACCTTTCTTCATATTGTTTAAAAGTGATTGAATGTTCTTAAAAAAAAAAGACATCAGCTTTTCTTGGATAAATTACAAGATGATATCGGATATGTTCCTTATGTCGTAACTACAATAACCTTCCCTTTTCACGAATGTGACCTACCGAATTAGAACATTTACCGGATTTGTAATAACATAAGCAACACGATTGGTGCCACATGTGGAGCAGGATCTGCTAACCCGTCCGGAGCACCTGAGATCACCCGCAGTTTTTGGTGGGGTTCGTGTTGCTTAGTCTTTAGTTTTCTATGTTGTGTCATCTGTACTATTATTTGTCTGTTTGTCTTTTTATATTTGGCCATGGCGTTGTCAGTTTGTTTTCGATCTATGAGTTTGACTGTCCCTCTGGTATCTTTCGTCCCTCTTTTACAATGATCGTTAACACTCAAAGGCACACGATATGTATGAATAGGTGCTGTGTATACATTTTAAAACCAAATGATTACCCAAAGTCATGGTAGACATGGTGACAAGGTTCTTTGTGACAATTTTAATCATTTTAGAAATCAGAAAAACGCTATGAATTTAAGCAAGATGGTGTCAATTTCAAAACTTAAAGAAAAAATCGTGGAACTGTAAAACTCATACATCCAAACTGATATTTTCTGTTCATGTATTTAATGTAGTAAGACGTATAAGTCTGTTAATCGGAAATATAAAACAAGCTGTTAAAATTCTAAACAGAAATTTTTATTGCAAATTTTCCAGAGATAAATTAAAATATATATTAAATATTCTAATAAAACAACCCCAGCATTGAATCATGTTGAAACAACCCTTCATCAGGTAAAATTTCTCCCTTCGAAGTTGACATTTGTCAGTTCTAACGACATTTATTGGTGCCAACTTCACATTTCTATGTTCTACTTTGACAACTTTTCACGTCCAAGTTGACTTTTCAGTTCCAGGTTTGCATTTATAATGAACGGTGGAACTCTCTATAAGTTATTATTATTTTGAAATGGTGCTTTAATTCATACCATGGCAATCCACACCATGTCTCTTCTATTAACAATCCCGTTTTTAAAAAATCAATTTAAAAAAATTACAAATCTTATAAATAAAATGGCAAACAGAAAATTATTGCACAGAAACTAACATTTGAATATTCAACCTCTGATGTCAAAAGGTTTTGGTGAAAAAGACAAACTCCTTACGGTAAAGAATATAATACCGGCAAAAATAAAATACAAAAACAATGGTTTTATATTCCCAACAACAAAGAAATCCTACTTTTTCATTGTTGTATTTAACAACATCAACGGTTGGAACATATTCAATGAAGAGTGTGTTTATTATCAAATGCCTCTTTTTCTTAATCTGTCTTTCATTTAGGTCGATGAATTAATTAAGGTATACACTATTTGAGATCGTAGACAAAATAAAGGGTCACGGAATTAAAATCAGTGAGTTCTATTAGTTGTCAGCGTCTGCTCAGAATATCAAACTTTATCAATATTGAGAATATACACTTGTTTCGTTTGGAAAAAATAATACATTTCAGAAACCGAATATATTGTTTTGAAGGTTGGTAAGATAGAGAAAAAGTAAATATTTTTAATTTCATCTTTGATATGTTTATATAAGTACTGTTCCAGAAAAAAAGGCTTGTCTCAATCGATAAAGAAAGCATGAAAATTATCTTTTTGTCTGTTTTTGTTTGCAAATATATAATTATTCGATTGTATTTTGCGTATACGGTTTTGTATAGTGATTGCTCTGTGGACTTATTCACTTCAATAAAAATTTAAAAACCTTTCAGAATTTCTATATTTAAACAATTATTTTATGATCAATAGTTTTGACATTTAGCTAATGTATCTACAAGATTTGAATGACATAACATTAAAGGATATTTGCTTCTTTTTAAACTTATTGGGTTGTAAATTAAATGTACAGTTTATTTGCATAACGGTATTAAAGAGCCTAACTAGATTATAACTGGTAGATGAGTCGGGTTTCAAAATTCAATTTCTGAAATATTGATTAAGGTTTAACGTGTTTTACTAACAACTTTAGTTTTGGTTTCATTAAAATGATAACGATATAGGTTTGAACATTTCAATTTTCTGTGAAGACACACAATAATTTTACCTTGTGTAAACGTGCGCAAATTACATGCGTTTTGGCACTTCTTATCTGAAAATATCTTTCCAAAACGACAGAAAAGTCAGAACATGAGAATATTAAAGATAATCAATAACAGAATGTTCCTTCAATGTAGATTATATTGGTCTCACTTTCTTAACAAACAATTTCGGTTGAATATCAACTTAAAATATAGCTCTTTACATTTTGGAAATTTTGCTATTCATCCCGCTCGTAAATAAATATAACGATTAATAAATTTCGTGCATCCCAACTTGTTTCTGAATTTACCTACATCAGGAACGCTGCTACCTATATTAAAGATAAACTCGTCATAGATAGCCAGCGAGGTGTTAATGTGTAGAGACTTCAGGAGTTGTATGACCAACAAGGACATAAAAAGAATATGCAAATGTATCAACGGGATGCATGTGGGAGTCTTAATAATTTCTGAATTTATCATGCATCAACAGGGAACAACAAGCGTTATTCATGATTTCGTTTTGGATAAGTATTAGATATAAGAACAAAGGTAAGAAATAACAGGCCGGTAGCAACCGTTGCTGTATAGTTTTTCTGCACGAGTAGTCAGATCAAGTCCGAGGCTATAGACGAGTACCTTGACCTGACTACAAGTGCAGAAAAACTATACGGCTGGTTGTTACCATCCCGTTTATTTTGTTACTTTTGTTTTGTATCTGACTTGTACGATGTTTTCAATTAGACAGATATACATTTTCGATTTAAGACGATTGCATAATTAAATAGAATGAACACACAAAAATTGCATATAGATATAAGAAGATGTGGTATGAGTGCCAATGAGACAACTCTCCATCCAAGTCAAAATTTATAAAAGTAAACCATTATAGGTCACAGTACGGTCTTCAACACGGAGCCTTGGCTCACACCGAACAGTAAGCTATAAAGGGCCCCAAAAATTACTAGTGTAAAACCATTCAAACGAGAAAACCAACGGTCTAATCTATATAAAAAACGAGAAACAAGAAACACTTATGAACCACATCAACAAACGACAACTACTGAACATCAGATTCCTGACTTAGGACAGGTGCAAACAAATGCAACGGGTTTAAACGTTTTAATGGTACCAAACCTTCACCCTTTTTCCTGAAACAATAGTGTAACATCACAACATAGAAAGACACACTATAAAATATCATCTGAAATAGCTTAACTCAATCAAAGGACATATTAACACCATTGAACATACACTGAACAAATAAATTTGACCTATGAAATACCGGTTTATGTACCTCGATGTTTAGAGATATTCAATCTTTAATAAATTAGCATTTTGCGTCAACACTAGCGCTTCTCAATTCTATCAGCTGTGTGCGAGTAAAATGTAAATTATTAATTATTCCTTTAATACATATCAGTAAAGTAGAGTAAATTGAAAAGTGAAGCAAAAGGGGGGGGGGGGGGAACTTTTAAAGTGGCAAGCAAAAAAAAGACATCTATCATAATAGTCTAATAAAATTGAGAATGGGAACGGGGAATGTGTCTAGGAATAGTGTACTTTATAATTTGATAACAAAATAAATTGTCAAACGGGGAAAGGGGGGAGGTGGTCTTATATTTTTGCCCCTCACCTTTGCAAGTGTGTAATGCGGGTATGGTCCCGAACAAACAGTCAAAGAAATACGTTATGCCTCCTCCGTCCTCACATTTTAAAAGTGGGGGATTGCCCCCTTCCACGGCTCATACCCACCCCCCCCCCCCCCTAAAACCAACAAAACAACAAAAATATGAATAAAAGAAATCTGACATTTACAAATTCAACGACGTATGCATTAGGGAAGAGTAATCAGACAAACTGAATACAACATGCATCAATATTGTCAAAATAAATATAATAAAGGACAAACCATATAAGTATATAAAAAAGCTGTTTCTCTATTTTATTGGGAATAACACTCCATGAAAAATAATTTATTTTGTCTCGTTTGAATTTTTTGATCAATTATTTTGGAAATAATTTTTTTGTTTGTTTTTGGTTTAATTTCATGCTCATTTCAATAATATGATATTCGAGTAGACCCAAGTATTGATCACGTGACACAATCTATTTTCCATGCCTGTATCCAAAATGGGTAGACGTTTATTGACATTGAGACTGATTGCGTGCTATCACAATTCGACTAACCAAATGTCTTCCGTATAGTTCTATTTAGACGATTTAAAGATTTCAGCTCAACTGCTAAGTAAACCCACGAGAGATTTGTACATGTAAACATTTTATGGTTGCAGATACTCTTGCAGTCTGTAACTTCGTAGACACTTTATTTAATTTCGACATTTTGGGACATAGTCAGCTATTTTATAATTATAATGTTTGTGAACACTTTTCATATAAATTATATTTATAAAACAAGGTAATTAGGTCACAAGGTGTACGATAAAGTGCCTATGAACTCACTGAATGCACGAGTGACTCTATTCATAGAAAGTGTCCGTGTAACACCCATTATTGTACTGCTTAGGGCAAAGTCGTACAAAGATAACTTTACTCATTGTTCAGTTGCTTTTCTGCATTACAATTTTGAAAGTTTCTTCTTTGTCAGTGCACCAGATTGCATCTTTATGTACTGTTTATAACTTGTTGTATCAGTCAGTTCAGTCTAAGAGTGCAGAACAGCATGATTGCATGTCAGCAGGTTATCATATACTTACTTTTATCTTGCTTATATTAACTGCGATGATTCTTTAATACGGTATAGTATTGTTTATTGTCTAATTTTTGTTTGATGTTAAGTTACCGATTAAACCGTTAGTTAAGAGTAGAGTGTTTTTTCTTCTAAAGTATTTTGTTATATTTTCTGTTTACACAATGTTGAAATATTCGAACCACTAAGGTTTTTAAATCCCCTGGAAAAGATTGCACAATTCATATTGCACAAATTTTCTGAATTTTTGGTTTTTAACCTTCGAATTTGATTTTGCTTTCCAACTATTTTGATTTGAGCCCACGTAGGATTCTAACGTAGACGAAATGCTTGTTTTGTGTAACAATAAGCCTGATACGTTTGATGATTTTTTATAACCACTGAGTCGATGCACTGTTGTTGGAAGTTCCATGCCAGAGTTTATTACCAGCCGAGTTGTCAGCACTTTTGTGTTGACATGAAATGTCATTGATATGTTTATTTGCTGTACATTTACTGTATATAAATTATTCGAAAAACTAAGGTTTTTTCTTTTCTATCCCAGGCATAGATTGCCTAATCTGTATTTTGAACAACTTTTTGAAATTTTCAGTTTAAAATGCTCTTCATCTTTGTATTTCATTTTGCCTTTTTTTCCCTGTGAATAAAAAAACCCATCATATATACCAGGATTATAATTATGTCAATAGACGCATGTGGAATAGATTGCATTAGCCATATATATATTTTGCACAACTCTTTCGAATTTTCTGTTGCTACTCTTTTATTTCGTATTTTATTTGTAATACTAACTGTATTGTTTGAGCTCCACATATTAATTAATCTGATGTAGAAAACAAAAACGCGCGTCTGTCGAACTAAGTTATAAGCGTGGTATCTTAAACCGAGGGTATCACCTGCGCCGTAGTCAGCACTTTTCTGTAGACATTAAATGCCATTCATTTATTAATTTTTTTTAAAATATGAAAAAAAAAATCATGGCTCTATCAATTTACTTAGGTTTCACGTGCTTCTCATGGTCTGTGTTGATTGTTTATCCATGTCATAATCCGGTAAACTATGGCAACACAATTGAAAGTTAATTAGCTTACGATCATCAATCACTAAATGAAATATTATTTGACGATAATACGTTAAAGATTCGGAATAAATGTAAAAAGCGTGCATACGGGAACGGAACGGGAGTTATTGGAACGGTTTTTGTCAACCTATGCATTTTGTTAAATGCGTCGCTCAATGTTAAACACAGTATTTTAAGATTTGTAAAACCATACACTGGAATTTTCGTCCATATTATATAATTTTTACATCATTAAAAATCACAGAAAACATGTATGTTTATTTATTACGCGATTCTCCAGATTCCCGCCCTAATTTTCACCGACATAAAATCACGTATGTCATTTTATTGGAAATCTCCAATGAGAGTTAAGGGCATACGATACAGTTTCGATCCCACGTTGAATTTTTAGCGAAAATTTGCATGCAGGCTATTTTTCATCTCAGCAATTCAAATATGTAATAAAAAATATACTTCCACGTGCTACTTTAAGAGATAAAAGGGGTCGAAATTTTAGACATTTACTAAAAATTTCGGTTTTTTGGACATTTCTATCCTTTGGATAGACGTACCTAACTTTTTTGTTTCAAACTCAAGCGGATTTTTGTAAAAATATTTAGAAAATGTTCTTTACAAAAGTATGCTCTTAATTTGTATAACAATTCTTTTGAAATAATTAATTTTTATCAAAGTTCGGGATTTTAGAAAAATAAACGGCATCTTTTGCTGTATATTTATCTAATTAAAAAAGATTTTCATCGGTGACTTTTTTATAAAAATTGGTACAAATAATCTTCAAACTTATTCAAACATATTGTCATTTTAAAAATGAGGGGTCCATGAACTCGTTTTCAAGTTAAATCATTCTGAATCATAAAAAAAAACAGTCGAAAATGCATCTTTTCCCGATATGTCACAGTTTGACGTCGGGAAAATAACATTTTACGTTAGCAACTTCATTATCTCCCCTGTAACTGTATCGTATGCCCTTAAACTCTACCAACTTAAGAGGTGTTCTTACAAAGTATCAAATTTATTTTCCAGGTAATCTAATCAAACGAAGTCAATATAACTATTTTCCAAATGGCTCAATTGCCTGTTTCTTCAGTGAGTATACGTTGTTTATTTCTGTTACTTTTTGTAATGCTTAGATATGTACGTTGCATTCACCATTTGATTACGTAAATATGTTTATAAATTTATTGGGCGAGTCAAAGTTGTACAAATAAACAACTTAAAGCAGAAGTGCGTTGCATAAACATATCGTTTCAAGATACCTCATACTGACAGAAAAATATAAAACTAGATTACCAAAAATTGTTTTAATATCAATTGCAGGCCTAACTGTAACCCAATTAGTATAGCTATTAAAAGACCAGGAAGGTCTAACGGTCAATTTTCCATTCTTTTAATTCATATCGTTTGTCTTAATGTTTCCCATAAATATTTTGAAATCTTGGGATTTTGCATCTTAGATTTAACTTTAAAATGTTATTAAAAGATGAACATCTGATTAAAGATCTACATTGCTCAAAAAAAAATAACCACCCATTCTGAATCTTGGGTTGAAGTTGAATACTTTTCATTTGATGTATTGGTTAAAATTGATCAACTGATGTTAACATCTCGAATTTCTTATTTGTTGAAACCGTAAAGTATTATATTAAGAAATAGGCATTAGGTTTATGATATTTTGGGTTTTATTTTGGGTTTCTTTTTGACTATCAAAAAATTACTTTCTAGTTGATAACTAGAAACAACGAGAAATTTGCAATAAACATAAGCATTTAAACATGAGATTTAGAATCTGGTTTACAATGAAAAAATGAATTTGCAAAATGTCGACATTTTGTTTTTTTTTTAACTTAATTTTTAACCTGAGTTTGACATATATATATATACATTATATATATACAGACGTACTTATATATACTCGTAACGATCCAGCGCCCTCGTAAGAAAGATCGTTGACTAATATCCAGACGTTTTATATATAAATATATATATATAATGCGTCTAAATAACAGCCCAACAAAGTTAGATCTGTAAATTTGCGTAAGCAAATTTTTGTTTTTCCCTGGCCGGGATTCGAACTAATGCTACTGAGATATCGTGGCACCAAATCGCCTTGCACTATGCCCGACGCGCTAGACCAATCGACCACCTAGGCTTGACAAAAATCAAGCTTTCGGTGACCGGGTGTTACATTTCCTCGTCAGTTTTTATCAAGCGTCGTAACACAGTACATAATATATAAGGCATGAAGATGGAATATTACAGATCAGCTGAATTATCTATCGTAGAGGATCTTACAAATTAATGTAGGATGCAGTCACAGAAATAATTATATTATAAGTATGTCTGAACCAGTGACAACTCTACGACAGATTTTATCCATCGGATAACCAGTGATGGTGAAACAAGGCTGAAACACATTCTGTATATATAATTCGTCTAAATAACAGCCCAACAATGTTAGATCTGGCCTCGTCAGTTTTCATCTAGCGTCGTAACACAGTACATGATATATACATTTTAATATAATATTTATATAAAGTCTCTGATTAAATGTATAATAAAAACTATAACACAATTTTCCATCAGTCGGCCATTACGGCCTTCTTCATTGGATTAAATTGCAACATTGAAACAACAATTACATCGCTTGGATACAATACGTTACAATAACTACTATGACGTTCATTTGCCGCGTTTTTCTCTTTTATGAATATTTTTACTATCGTTCGAACATAGTGTTGAGTCCATCAGGTTGTAAAGTTTTAAATTTTTGATCAAAAAGACTTCTTTAATTTTTCGGTAAATTTCTGTGCCAAATACTCATTCTATTTCAGTAACTTTTAGATTTTTTATCGAATGGTCATGTTGAATGAAGTGGTTTGCTACGGGATCGCCTGTTTTGTTTGTTCTTATTTTTGAAAAAGTTCAATAACATCCTTTGCTACAGTGTATCGCCTGTTTGTCCTACATACATAAGTTTTTCGCATTTTGTACAGTTAATTGCATACACTACGCCCACAGTTTTTACAATCTATTTGTCCCTGAATATTATATTTTTCCCGGTGTTATCACAGAATACTTCCATTATCACTGAACTAGTATACATATTTGTTTAGGGGCCAGCTGCAGGACGCCTTCTGGTACGGGAGTTTCTCGCTGCATTGAAGACCCATTGGTGGCCTTCGGCTGTTGTCTGCTCTATGGTCGGGTTGTTGTCTCTTTGACACATTCCCCATTTCAATTCTCAATTTTATTTGGATTCACTATGGTGTGAACATAATGCCCAAATTTCCCGCATCGTCCACTGCCGTTTTTCTGTTTATAGAATAATAAATTATGCTTCTTGTGCACCACCTTTGATAAGTGCATAACGAACGAGTTGGGATATATAAACACCGTATGATGGAACCAAAAGAACATCGCCGTCTAAAAAAGGAAAATTAACAATAGGAAATAAAAAATCGTCTCTTTTGTCGTAAATTTTAGTATGGATTTTCTCTTTAGAAATTGAAATATCTAATTCTAGAAAAGGACAACTACTGCTGTTTATGTTATATTTATTTAAAGTTAGTTCCTTTTGGTAATTTTCGGTAGTATATTTAGAGAACCCTGAATTATTTAACGATAAAATATCATCAATATCATCTTCTATGGCTACAAAAACATCTAGAAATTAGATTTTTGCAGTTGAATAACGCATTTCAGTTTTAATTCGCGGATGTAAACTATTGGACAATTCGTAAATTTTTAAAAAAATTTTCTAAACATACCATTTTACCACATTTACACTGTAGGAGATACACAGCATTTGTAGTCTTGCCCCCATGATGATGGTATTGAAGCCTGTAGGGAAGTCTGGAACTCTCGCAACACCTCACTCCCACCAACTGAATGTCTAGTCTAGCTTCTATCTTTGGTATTGAAATGCAATAACTTCACATTCAATGGTGAACACTTTCTCCAGGTTAATGGAACAGCAATGGGAACAAAGATGACCCCTTCTTATGGGCAAATTAGAACAGCAAATTCTCAATTCTTCTCTTTATCAACCTCTCTTTTGGTTCCGATTCATCGACGATATTGACATGAAGTGGGATAATACTGAACAAGAACTCAATGTGTTCATTCAACATGCCAACTATGCCCCTCCCTCAATAAAATTCACTTATAAAATATCTGACTCTAAGATCACATTTCTTGACACTGCTACGCAAAATAAGGATGGAATCATATTTACAGATCTGTATTGCAAGCCCACAGAAAAACATCACATTTCTTGACACTGCTACGCAAATGAAGGATGGAATCATATTTACAGATCTGTATTGCAAGCCCACAGACAAACATCAGTATCTTTCTCCTTTGAGTTGTCATCCTAAACATTGCACCAAGAGCATTCCCTAAAGCCAGGCCATACGAATAAAACGGATTTGTTCAACCAATGAGACTGCACAAAGGATAGTACAAGAACTTCGCGGTCACCTAAAAAATCGGGGCTACAGAAAAAAAGACATTGATAAAGGTTTCTCTCGTGCCAACAACATCAGTTGAGATGAACTTTTACAATATAAAGACAAAAAGGTCAACAAAAAAGTGCCGTTTGTACTGACTTACCATCCCAAATTTGACAAGTTATCACATATTATCCGCGAAAATTGGAAAGAAATCGAAAAACATCCTAAACTACCCATGATCTTTCCCGAGCCACCTGTACTGGCTTTCCGTAGGCCCAAAAGCCTTAAAGACTTGCTGTAGAGAGCTGATTTATCCTCTAAATCAGGCTCTTCATCACCTGTGGGCTCTTGAAAGGGATGCGGAAACAAACGATGTCTGACTTGCAAGCAAATAATGAATACCCAGGCTTTTAACAGTCACTCCACTGGTACGAAATACACCATATTTTGCAATGTTAATTGCATAAACTTATGAACGGCCATCGTAGTGACTATGAATGGAAGCCAGACCTTACTCGCAGTCAACATTTGAGATCCTCTGGCCACAAAAAGGCAGATCTCAATCGACTGACCATTAAAATCATAGACCACAACACTGCTTGGTCTAGGGAGGATAGACTCGCTCGGGAAAGATTTTGGATAAGAAAATTAAAAACTTTGGCACCAAATGGGATCAATGAAAAGGTGTAGTTCTAATTCGCGCATTTCTTTTCATTTGGGTTATATTTCTTATTACTACGCAGTCTCTGTTGCTATTCTCTCACTTTTGTCAGTTCTAAAATTATAGAATTATACCAGTTTAAATCCAAGGGTGCTATTCATTTGGGATGTTTAAGTACGCAGCCAGGTTCAATTACTTAACCTATTTCAAAATCTTTTTTTTTTAATCATTATCAAACTGAAGAAATTTTAGAAATATACCTGTTCATATCGCACATTACTATTTTGTTAGTAGCATATTAATGCAGTCTCTGTTGTAAATACCTAATCTACGTCATTTTTCAAATTTTATAATTGCACAAGCGTTGCTGTGTTCGGTTTTAATTGTATAAATTTCAAGATTGTTATAGTTAAATCAGAATAGATTGATATGATTCATTTTACATCATATTCATACTGATGAAGGATATCTGTTATCCGACATATTTATAGATAATTACGTTTAATGTTTCCTTTCTTTTAATTAGTGTTGTTTGGTACACTTTTTAGGCGTTTATATAATTTATTTATTGTGTACATGTATCGTTACTCGTAACGATCCAGCGCCCTCGTAAGAAAGATCGTTGACTTATATTTAGAAGTTAAATATATATCTATTCTTTTATTCGAAAACCAAATTAAGGTAACTTTCACTTTTCAGTGTGTCAAATCTATAATTAGATTTGTCTTAAAATCATTAAATCTACAATTTTCAATCCATGAAAAATCGACTTGCCATAATGATTGCACATCTCTAGATTTTAAACTAGCCATCAAGCGTTCTATAGACCAACGCTGATCACCGAAGAAACCTTAACACATCAGCGCGGACCATCGCACTTTAGCGTTCGTATCGCACCTCCGAGTCCTACACATATATTTTGCCAACACTCATCTTTGTATGAAGGCATGAAAATCTGTCACAAGTATCCAATC